AAAGGTCTGATGGTGTAGTGGGTTAAAGCATACTAGTTATGCCTGCTACTGGAAGGTAGTTGTGCTTTCTGGGTTCGAGTCCCACTGGTGGGTGTTGTCCAAAGATTATTTAATCTTCACTTGTGGTTTATGCAAGTATAGGCTTATAAGCTGGACACGAGTTCTCTCACATTGACAGTGGCTTGATGGAAAATGCAGACTGACCCCACACTCATCTGGTGCCTTCGGGAAGTAGAGATGTTTGAGATATATATATCTCGAACTATCTACTTCTTTTGAAAGGTCTGATGGTGTAGTGGGTTAAAGCATACTAGTTATGCCTGCTACTGGAAGGTAGTTGTGCTTTCTGGGTTCGAGTCCCACTGGTGGGTGTTGTCCAAAGATTATTTAATCTTCACTTGTGGTTTATGCAAGTATAGGCTTATAAGCTGGACACGAGTTCTCTCACATTGACAGTGGCTTGATGGAAAATGCAGACTGACCCCACACTCATCTGGTGCCTTCGGGAAGTAGAGATGTTTGAGATATATATATCTCGAACTATCTACTTCTTTTGAAAGGTCTGATGGTGTAGTGGGTTAAAGCATACTAGTTATGCCTGCTACTGGAAGGTAGTTGTGCTTTCTGGGTTCGAGTCCCACTGGTGGGTGTTGTCCAAAGATTATTTAATCTTCACTTGTGGTTTATGCAAGTATAGGCTTATAAGCTGGACACGAGTTCTCTCACATTGACAGTGGCTTGATGGAAAATGCAGACTGACCCCACACTCATCTGGTGCCTTCGGGAAGTAGAGATGTTTGAGATATATATATCTCGAACTATCTACTTCTTTTGAAAGGTCTGATGGTGTAGTGGGTTAAAGCATACTAGTTATGCCTGCTACTGGAAGGTAGTTGTGCTTTCTGGGTTCGAGTCCCACTGGTGGGTGTTGTCCAAAGATTATTTAATCTTCACTTGTGGTTTATGCAAGTATAGGCTTATAAGCTGGACACGAGTTCTCTCACATTGACAGTGGCTTGATGGAAAATGCAGACTGACCCCACACTCATCTGGTGCCTTCGGGAAGTAGAGATGTTTGAGATATATATATCTCGAACTATCTACTTCTTTTGAAAGGTCTGATGGTGTAGTGGGTTAAAGCATACTAGTTATGCCTGCTACTGGAAGGTAGTTGTGCTTTCTGGGTTCGAGTCCCACTGGTGGGTGTTGTCCAAAGATTATTTAATCTTCACTTGTGGTTTATGCAAGTATAGGCTTATAAGCTGGACACGAGTTCTCTCACATTGACAGTGGCTTGATGGAAAATGCAGACTGACCCCACACTCATCTGGTGCCTTCGGGAAGTAGAGATGTTTGAGATATATATATCTCGAACTATCTACTTCTTTTGAAAGGTCTGATGGTGTAGTGGGTTAAAGCATACTAGTTATGCCTGCTACTGGAAGGTAGTTGTGCTTTCTGGGTTCGAGTCCCACTGGTGGGTGTTGTCCAAAGATTATTTAATCTTCACTTGTGGTTTATGCAAGTATAGGCTTATAAGCTGGACACGAGTTCTCTCACATTGACAGTGGCTTGATGGAAAATGCAGACTGACCCCACACTCATCTGGTGCCTTCGGGAAGTAGAGATGTTTGAGATATATATATCTCGAACTATCTACTTCTTTTGAAAGGTCTGATGGTGTAGTGGGTTAAAGCATACTAGTTATGCCTGCTACTGGAAGGTAGTTGTGCTTTCTGGGTTCGAGTCCCACTGGTGGGTGTTGTCCAAAGATTATTTAATCTTCACTTGTGGTTTATGCAAGTATAGGCTTATAAGCTGGACACGAGTTCTCTCACATTGACAGTGGCTTGATGGAAAATGCAGACTGACCCCACACTCATCTGGTGCCTTCGGGAAGTAGAGATGTTTGAGATATATATATCTCGAACTATCTACTTCTTTTGAAAGGTCTGATGGTGTAGTGGGTTAAAGCATACTAGTTATGCCTGCTACTGGAAGGTAGTTGTGCTTTCTGGGTTCGAGTCCCACTGGTGGGTGTTGTCCAAAGATTATTTAATCTTCACTTGTGGTTTATGCAAGTATAGGCTTATAAGCTGGACACGAGTTCTCTCACATTGACAGTGGCTTGATGGAAAATGCAGACTGACCCCACACTCATCTGGTGCCTTCGGGAAGTAGAGATGTTTGAGATATATATATCTCGAACTATCTACTTCTTTTGAAAGGTCTGATGGTGTAGTGGGTTAAAGCATACTAGTTATGCCTGCTACTGGAAGGTAGTTGTGCTTTCTGGGTTCGAGTCCCACTGGTGGGTGTTGTCCAAAGATTATTTAATCTTCACTTGTGGTTTATGCAAGTATAGGCTTATAAGCTGGACACGAGTTCTCTCACATTGACAGTGGCTTGATGGAAAATGCAGACTGACCCCACACTCATCTGGTGCCTTCGGGAAGTAGAGATGTTTGAGATATATATATCTCGAACTATCTACTTCTTTTGAAAGGTCTGATGGTGTAGTGGGTTAAAGCATACTAGTTATGCCTGCTACTGGAAGGTAGTTGTGCTTTCTGGGTTCGAGTCCCACTGGTGGGTGTTGTCCAAAGATTATTTAATCTTCACTTGTGGTTTATGCAAGTATAGGCTTATAAGCTGGACACGAGTTCTCTCACATTGACAGTGGCTTGATGGAAAATGCAGACTGACCCCACACTCATCTGGTGCCTTCGGGAAGTAGAGATGTTTGAGATATATATATCTCGAACTATCTACTTCTTTTGAAAGGTCTGATGGTGTAGTGGGTTAAAGCATACTAGTTATGCCTGCTACTGGAAGGTAGTTGTGCTTTCTGGGTTCGAGTCCCACTGGTGGGTGTTGTCCAAAGATTATTTAATCTTCACTTGTGGTTTATGCAAGTATAGGCTTATAAGCTGGACACGAGTTCTCTCACATTGACAGTGGCTTGATGGAAAATGCAGACTGACCCCACACTCATCTGGTGCCTTCGGGAAGTAGAGATGTTTGAGATATATATATCTCGAACTATCTACTTCTTTTGAAAGGTCTGATGGTGTAGTGGGTTAAAGCATACTAGTTATGCCTGCTACTGGAAGGTAGTTGTGCTTTCTGGGTTCGAGTCCCACTGGTGGGTGTTGTCCAAAGATTATTTAATCTTCACTTGTGGTTTATGCAAGTATAGGCTTATAAGCTGGACACGAGTTCTCTCACATTGACAGTGGCTTGATGGAAAATGCAGACTGACCCCACACTCATCTGGTGCCTTCGGGAAGTAGAGATGTTTGAGATATATATATCTCGAACTATCTACTTCTTTTGAAAGGTCTGATGGTGTAGTGGGTTAAAGCATACTAGTTATGCCTGCTACTGGAAGGTAGTTGTGCTTTCTGGGTTCGAGTCCCACTGGTGGGTGTTGTCCAAAGATTATTTAATCTTCACTTGTGGTTTATGCAAGTATAGGCTTATAAGTAAAAGAGAATGTGTCGAATGAGTGTAATTACCTAAGTGTAGTTACAGGATGAGAGCTACACTCGTGGTGTCCCGTCTTCCCAGGACTCTTTGTCATATAATGCTTTGAAACTACTGACGGTCTTGGCCTCCACCACCTTCTCACCTAACTTGTTCCAATCGTCTACCACTGTGTTTGGGAAAGTGAATTTTCTTATTTTTCTTCGGCCTCTGTGCTTAGTTTAAATCTATGACCTCTTGTTCTTGAAGTTCCAGGTCTCAGAAAATCTTCCCTGTCAATTTTATCAATTCCAGTTACTATTTTGTACGTAGTGATCATATCACCTCTAATTTCTTCTGTCTTCTAGTTTTGGCATATATAATGCTTCTAACCTCTCCTCGTAGTTCTTGCTCTTCAGGTTTGGGAGCCACTTAGTAGCATGTCTTTGCACCTTTTCCAGTTTGTTGATGTGCTTCTTAAGATATGGGCACCACACAACCGCTGCATATTCTAGCTTTGGCCTAACAAAAGTCATGAACAATTTCTTTAGTATTTCGCCATCCATGTTAAAAGCAACTCTGAAGTTAGAAAGTGTAGCATAGGCCCCTCGCACAATGTTCTTTATGTGGTCCTCAGGTGATACTTTTCTGTCTGGAACCACCTCTAGATCTCTTTCTTTATCAGAATTCTTTAAAGATTTCTCACATAATTTATAGGCTGTGTGGGGTCTATGTTCTCCTATTCCATAACATGACATTTATTTACATTATATTACATTTGCCAATTGGTGCACCATATACTTATTTTGTTCAGGTCTTCTTGAAGGGCATGCCAATCATCTAAGTTTCTTATTCTTCCTATTATCTTAGCATCATCAGCAAACATGTTCATATAATTCTGTATTCCATCTGATAGATTGTTTATGTAGACAATGAATATCACCGGTGCAAGATCTGAACCCTGTGGTACTCCACTAGTGACATTTCTCCAGTCCGATACATTGTGTTTGATTACTGCCCTCATTTTTCTGTCAGTCAGAAATTTTTTCATCCATGTTAGAAGTTTACCTGTCACCCCTTCAATATTTTCCAGTTTCCAGGACAACCTCTTATGTGGAACTCTATCGAAAGCCTTTTTTAGGTCTGAATAGATGCAGTCAACCCATCTATCTCTTTCCTGTAAAATCTCTGTGGTTCGATCATAGAAACTGAGTAAATTCGATACACAGGATCTTCCAGATCAAAAACCATTCTGTCTGTCTGATATTATATAATTTCTCTTCAGGTGTTCTACCCATTTAGTTTTTATTAGTTTTTCCAATATTTTAACTGTTACACTTGTCAATGATACAGTTCTATAATTGAGTGGGTCTTCTCTGCTGCCACTTTTGTAGATTTGAACTATTGTGTGTGTGTGTGTAGCATGTGCAATAATTCAAGTAGAGTGGCTGTGTGTTATCTGTAGCTGCAGCTGTAGACAAACAATTTTTGTTTGTTGAGGATATATATTTTATTCAGGTTTTCCTTATTTTCAGTTCTCACTCGGGAAAATGTCAAGCAATACTGTATAGTGCTATAGAGGGAAGCAATCAAAATAGGAGGATCAGTGAAGCAAAAGGCAAGAATGTAGAGCAAGAGGATAAGTCCTTGAAAGAAATGAAGAAGAAACAGGACTTTCTCAAGATACAACTGCTACAGGTATTCAAAAATCATTCTTCATTACTCAATTTCAAAGCAAAACTTGTACTCACCTAGTTGTGTTTGCAGGGGTTGAGAATTGGCTCTATGGTCCCGTGTCTCAACTGCCGATCAACTGGTGTATAGATTCTTGGGCCATTCCTCCAGTTTGTCCACTTTTAGTTATAAATTTTTAAGTTTTTCCCACAGTATGAGTATTAGTGGTTTTGGGCATTGTACTTGCCTTTCCTATGAATCCTACAATCTGCTTGTATCCTATGTATGTGTGTATGTACTTTGCCTATATATAAAATATTCGCATCATCATCATCAAAGTCCATTCATTTATCACATATTGCATTCGCAGGTTTAATGTTTAGGTGGAGAGGGGTTTGGTGCTGTCTTAAAGCCATCTTGGCCAAGAGGTACCTTGGATCATATGGTCTTGGGGGAAAGACCATCATGCATGCATTCATTAATTCATGATGGTTTTGGGAGAACATTGTGAATGAATGAATGGAGGTTTTGGGGAGGCTTCAAGTGTGCTTTTTGGACCTTGCGAGTGTTTGGTTCCTGTTCCATCTCAAGAATGTCTGATCATATATTAAAAGCTCTTTTTGTTAATTGTCAGTCTAAAAGATGTCAACTATTTGTTGTGATGTGTTTTGTTAATATTTATTTTGTTTAGTTTTGTTTGTTTTTAATATTTTATTTTGTTTATTTTTTTTAAGGCTGACAGCACCAGCCCCCTGTACACCAGCATCGGTATCCGCAGAAGAGCTCCTGGAGTCCCCATAATCCTGCAAGTCGGCCCAAGCCACTCTACAAGAGGGAGAAACTCTCCGAGCCCACAGCGAACGCTCGGAGACAGGGCATTGGTCATCATAGTTATTACATCCTCCCAGGAGAAACCACAGCAGAGCCCCGAGTGGATGAGCAAAACCACGCATAGCATGATCCTGCACTACTGCAGCCTCAGTGACAGGGGGCACTGGACCACACATTGCGATACAATCGGAATACACCTTAATTGGAGACGGGGCATGAAGGGGCCTCAGTAGCAGGGGGCGGGGTCGTTCATACCACCACCTCAACATACAGACAGACATGAAACATGCTTCATGCAACAACAGACAAACATGGTGAAGACATGCAACTTCATCGGTGTAATCATTATCCTCAATTTATATTGTAGGTTTTATGTTGAACTTAAATTTTGCTACAATATACCTCCAACCCACACCTCCATCCACACCCTCATCCAGGAGTGCTGCTCAAACTGGCAATACCACCGGGTAACCAGATGGCCGGAAAGCGTCACTCACAACACCAACAAATGGAGACAAATCTGGGGCCACCAAAAGGGGTAAAATCCTTCTGCCGAAAGAGGTTCACTGGGCTAACCTGGCGTGCATCACAACCTGTAGCCTGTTGGTCCAAGTGTCCACACCGGAAACAAGTCTGTGGCTGGCCCGCATGGAACACATGGACAGAATAGCCCATCATAATTACCGACGACGAAATAGGGCTTTTGAGTCGCATAGCCAGAGAGCGAGTCCCACTCAGGACACCCTTCCACCTCCCGGAGGAGACTATGCTCATTTGTATATGGAGCACTTGCCCAAACTTGGCAAAGTACCTATGTAGGTGTCAAGGTTCTCACCCCTTCCTACCTTATATGGTTGGGGCCGTTCCCACAGGTCTTCGCCCCTCCGTACCAGTTGCCACTCCTCGCCCCTGGGCTCCCCAGTCCACTAAGGGCTGGCCTTATATATACCCTTAGCGAGTGGAGAGGTTCAAGTCTACTTGTATCACAACTGAACCTGCCCGTCTTGACACTGAGATACTCTCTCTTAGATATCAGGTCTGCTCGAGGTCGCCAGCTAGGTGTTTATACTCATGTCCCAGCAACACATTAGTGGTCTCATTAGTTATCTTAGAGCAATCTCATGTGCAGTGCAAGGTGACGTAACTGGTTTCACTCAAAATAGCCCTAGAGAATAGAGGTTCACTCAAACACATTGGTAAGATTAAAAGTTTACTGAAGAAAATATATACACTTGCATAAGAAAATAATATAGGTGGGATTATCCGATGGCGGCAACACTCCTCTCGCTCTGTCATCGGCGGGCACACACCTCGCACCTCTGGCAACACGATCAGCTGATTGGGTCCAACTGTCAGACGGCGGGACACACCTCACACCTCTGGCAACATGATCAGCTGGCTGGGTCCAACTGTCAGATCGGCGGGAACACACCTCACGCCTATGGCAACACGATCAGCTGGGCGATTCAAAGTTCGTTCCTGGCTTCTTGAAAACCAGCCATTACTTCCAGATACACTAACGTCACCACATGTACATATTTATATTCCACCACCAACTCATGCCTACATGAGCTCCTTGGCTCCTAGCCTAACTTAATGTCACATAGACAATAAATGATAGCAAGAAATGTTCACAATTTACAGAATATCCTTGCTCGCCTAGATTAAAGGGGAAAAGGGAGGGATAACTATCTACCTTACTTCATTCCATTACGAAGCCGACTCGTCCTCTGGCGAGGGATGATGAGGTTCCTGGTCCTGGCTTCTGATCTTCCGTTGATCAGTTCCTAAACACACACACAAGTTCCTCAGTCGTCCTTGTAGTTGCGCGTCCTCGCCGTCCTCACACCTGGCAGGTACAGTCCACCTCTTCCTCTTCTTTGGGGTACTGGAGTGAGGTACCTGCGCCGTCGTCCTCCTTCTCCTCTCACTGGCACTGTAGATCCATCCAGTACTGTTTCCCCTTGCCTCACGTCCAGTAGATTCTGCCCGGCCGTCGCTACTCGCTTGATATGTAGAACGTGGTCCGCTGGGCGGACCACGCCCAGCGGTCTACCCAGATGTCTCCAGCCCAACGTTCGTCCCTGCTACAGACTCTTGATAATAGAGCTTTTGACTTTCTAGCCCGGCCAATCCTTGCTTCTTGGCACTCCACGGGATGTCTGCAGTATCAAAGCGATGCTTAAATCCACTGGTAGGGGCTCTCTGGCCTCTAGATCTGGAGCTCACTGGAATGCGTCCTAACTCTGTGACAGTCCGTGATGTACTCTGCCCGCACGGACTGTCACAGCCTCTGGAGCCCTCCACCTCGTGACGTCACACCGCCCGAAGGCTCTCGTCATTGGTCACTTTCGGGCACGTGACCTTACCTGGCCAGTCAGGTGCCAGCAGGCACTGCGACGCTTTGGCGGGAAACAGAATGGCTCGGCGCTATCTTGTGACACAACGGGCGTAAGCCCCTTGCATAATCAAACTTAAATGGCAATTTCACTTTCAACCCGATAACACTCCACACTCTCGCACATATGAAAATGTTCCCTAAATATCAGAGAACGCTCAGGTTATGGAGATATGACTCTTTAAGCTGGGTTAGGAGAAAGATATGGGTGGGACACCATCACATAGGAAACCTTCAGGAAACTCAAAGGGCGCCCCATGGACCGCAACATACGTTGTCACACCACAACAATCAGAGACAGTCATGGATGCACCACCATCAGTGAGTGTGAAGGAGTACCCATCATAACACTCCACTATGTCATGGTAAACTACCGAGGAGCCACACTTCACAACCGCTCATCTCCCAGCAATCGGCTGCACACTACATACGGCCTCTACAGGAACACATAACAAGTCCAAAATAACCAATTTCACTGCAAGGTACGAAGCGTGGTTGAAGAAGTCCAGACCGATAGAATCCTTCTGTACGACAGAGGGTAACAGCATCGCCATACCGCAGGCCTGCACGGCCTCGAGGGCCCCTCAGGAACACTCAAAAAGGCACATGCAACCACGGGCCAAGGAGCCAGCACCAGCACGTCTACCTCCGCCGACAGCCAGGAAAAAGAGCAAAAAAGTCATTCCATTATGTAAGTCTGTGCCAGTCATCATTAAGGATCACGTTTTTGTTGCATGCATTTGTTATTTTTCTTGAACTTTCACAGTTTAGTTAGATTCTCTTTTGATATTTAGAGTTTACCCCTTTAGATCTTAAAATTATATATTTTTTAATATTTAAAGTTTTGCCTGAAACCCTTTGCATAATAGTGCCATTGTTAGTATGTAAAACTCCTGCCCCTACAATTTTGTATTACTCTTGTTCTCTGTATCACATTTTTTTGAATACCAATTTGAATTTGAATATAATTGCTAGTCATCTTTATACAATTGACAGCCAAGTAAGTAAGTAATTATCAATAGAAGGCACCAAACCGGGAAGGCTATGTAGCACCATCAAATGTGCGGGATAATCAGAGGGCGCTAAATATCACCAAGGATGCCAATACGAAAACAAAAACGCATAAGGCGAACGATATCAAAAGCATCTGAGTCGCCAAGAATTCTATCGAGGGAAAAGCGACCGCGGGGGACTGTTGGGAAACAAGACACACGCTCGTCCTGGAAGTCAAGACATTCAACAAGAATATGTACGACTGTAAGAGGGACAACGCAATTTAGACAATAAGGAGCAGGGCAGCACTCCATTAAGTGACCGTGAGTTAAACGGGTTTTGCCAATACGTAACCTAGCCAGAGCCGTTTCCCACCGCCGGTTACGGTGGCAGGAGGAAGGCCACTGGGACACACGACTCTTAAGAGTACACAGTTTGTTACCAATAACAAAAGACCAACAACTCTGCCAGCGGGCAAAGATGGAGGCATGAATAACTGGGTAAAAGTCGGAATAAGGAATACCTTTATTGGAGATGGGACAAGTGCGGATAGCGTCCTTAGCGGCAGCATGCGCATGCTCATTTAATGAGACACCAACATGGCTGGGAACCCAGCAAAACGCAACCCACTTAAATTTACTGGAGATAAGAAACAGCCAATGTTGAATCTCAATGACCACCGGGTGGACCGAATTAAAGGACCCTAAAGCCATGAGGGCACTACGAAAGTCATCTACCACCACGAAGGAGGATTGACACCAGGAAAACAGGAGACGAAGAGCATAGAGAATAGCATAGATTTCTGCTGTGAAGATGCTAGCCTCCGGAGGAAGGCGACACATATAAGTGTGGTCAGGAAAAACAACAGTGTAGCCCACACCGTCAGCAGACTTTGACCCGTCGGTGAAGATGGGAACGGAGTGGGAGTGAGAAGAAAAGTGCTCAAGGAAGAGGCGTTTCAAAACTGTAGGAGGGGTAAAAGGTTTAGTGATGCGGGTCAGAGAAGTACAAAATTTGGGAAAGGGGACCCCTCCAAGGGGGCAAGGATGGAACAATACAAAGAGAAACATTAGTAATACGAACCGAAAGAGATTCTTGTAAGCGAGACAAGCGAACAGAAAGAGGAAGGTGGTGAAGAGGAACAGGTACTACAGAAGGAGTAAAATTCAAAGCACGATAGAGGCGAGAGTGAGGATGCTGTAAGGATTGCGCAAGATAGCGAAGACTGTAGTGATCACGGTGATCCTGGAGAGACAGAAAGCCAGTGTCAGCGTACAAGCTGAGAGTAGGAGTTGAACGAAAAGCACCAGAGCTGAGGCGCAACCCAGTATGGTGCAAAGGATCAAGACGGCGAAGAGTAGAAGAAGAAGCAGAAGAGTATGCAGAGCAACCATAACCGAGCTTAGACAGGACGAGAGAGGAATGCAAATAGAGGAGCGTGCGCCTATCCGCTCCCCAAGAAGTATGGGACAAAACCTTAAGTAGGGTAAGGGCCTTAGAGCATTCAACACGGAGGTAAGAGACATGGGGCGACCAAGACAAACAAGTGTCACAGAATAACCCCAAAAGCTTCGCAGAATCTTTGTACTCAAGGGGATGACCATAAAGTGACAAAGAGGGACGAAGAACGACCCGCTTCTGAGTAAAAGTCATGGCACAAGTCCTAGTAGTAGAGAACTTGAAGCCATGATTGGTGGCCCAAGATAACACGGCATCAATCGCAAGTTGAAGCCGCCGTTGAAGGAGAGGGGAATCTTCACCCTGACAGCTAAGGGTAAGATCATCAACATAGAGAGCGGAGAAGATACCAGAAGGAAGGGAGGAAAGAATACCATTGAGGGCAACCAGAAAA